TTAGCAGAGCTGCAGCGATCCACAGAGGATTCACCCAGACAGCAAGATTGTGGAGGGGGGAGCCCCAAAACCACAGTTAACCCCCCCCGGCCAGCACTTACTGGGGCATGACGGGGCCGTCCTGCTTGTTTAGGTGGCTCTGGACACTCTCCCAGATGGAGAATTCTGGCAGGCTGGAGGCAGCTGCCTCGGCCACGCTGGGTGAACCACTGCCCTTGGAGACCTCAAAAGTCTCGTTCAAGTTGTGAACGGGCACAGCAGGCAGGGTGCGGCGGTTTTGGGCAGCTGATGACACCAGGGACGTGTGGCTTGTTGTAGTCCCCTTCCTCTTAATTGGGCCAGGAGCCACCGACGTGGGGCTGCAGGGGGCAGCGAGGTCCTGCAAGCGCTGCACGGTGCCGCTCATCCCGGGGGTGCTGGGCACGGTGACAGACACCTGGGCTGAAGGAGCAGAGAAGAAACAGAGTCACCTCCTTGTCTGCAGTTCCCAGGCACCCACAAAGCCCAGGGCATCCCCCTCACAGCCCCCCGTCACAGCTCAGTGGAGATCCGCCCAGCGAGCCCTACAGCAGCCGTTTGCCAGCCGGTGTTTCCATCAAACCACCTTAAACCGAGAGGAAAAGAGCCAGCACAACTAATCCTCCGCCTTGCCAGCCTAAAGGCATCAGGCTGGGCCCAAAGCAAGTGCCCTGCGGCAACACCCGGTCTGTGCCCGGAACACAGGGTCTGCAGAGCCCACGGCTTCTCTATGGGCATCGTGCATCGGCCCTGAGGATGAGGAGGAAGAGCTCAGCCCTGGTCAGATGCAGGCTGCTGGCTGGGAGGCTACAGCCAGGCTGGCTGGGGCAAATGTTCCATGGAGGAGTAAAGAAGAGGAGGACAGATTAGGATCAGAACTGCTGTTTTGGTCTCCAGGAGCAGAAATATCCCTCACGTTTATGCTGACTCGCACACACATGCTGAGCTCCCCGGAGACAAGGGCTGCTCCTGGCTCCGGCCGTGCCCCGAGCTCCCGGAGGTGCTGGCCAGCCCCAGTCGCTCTACAAAGCGAGGCTGCAGCCGCTCTGGGCAGAACCCGCTGGGTGCCATGTCAGGAGGAGTCAAGAGAAACTCATCTCCCTGCCCTGTGCCCACAGCTGGGAGCTCCCCCCCGCCACCGGCTCCTCCATGCACACCGAGACAAAAGAGAGAGGGCAGCACCGACTGCCCTAAAGCCAACTTCTCACCCTCACAGCCCTGCTGCATCCTCTGGGCAGAGCTGGCCCCGCTGATCTCTGAGGCTCCCTTTGCAGACGTGGCTTGCTCCCCGCTTACACCAGCCTCCTGACTGACCAGGCGCTCCAGGTCCTCAAATTCGGAGACCATGGCAGGAGTGAGGAGGGCGGCAGCCTTCAGGAGGGCGTACTGCTTTCGGGCAACGTTCAGGACGGCAGCGAGGAGCCTGGGACAGAGAGAGACAGACCCAAGAACCAGTTAGCAGGTGAGCGTGAGCCAGCGTCACCAGTAATGGAGGCCCAGCAGCACCAGCATCACCTCTGAGACACTTCCTTGGGCGGGGCAGAGCCTGTTAGCAGAGTTTTAGGGCAAGAGAGGCAAACTGAAGTCGAGATATCCAAGTTGTAAATCTCTTCCTGGACAACCCGAGCTGTGAGTTGTGTGTTTACCTGTTAGTTACAGGGGACAAAACGGCACCTGCAGGCTCTGCCGGGCTTCAGACACTTGTCAGCTCCGCCAGAGGCAGACAGATCCAGGCACACATCAAGGCCAGCCTCCCTCAAGAGGCCTTTCCAAAGAGGTTCATTCTGCCAAGATGCTTGGGGCAGAGACATCAGCAGATGGTGCCACGGGAGCCCTGCCAGGGCAGGGCCCGGGGGAGCAGCGGCAAGAGGAAAGACTTCGCAGAGGTAATTTCAGGACTAACAACGCGCACTTAAGGCTCACACGGTGGCTGTGCCTGGAAACCTTCATTGCTGCATTTCCAGGAGAGTCTATCCCATGGGATTAGATCCCCAGGAGCCAAATCCCTTATTTTACAGGGCTGGCTGTCATCTGCAAACAAAGACCTGGTCCCACGTCCTTCTGGACTGCCCTTAGGATGGCTACAGGATGCAACAGAAGGGTGGGCAGCCCGTCCTCTGCAGGCAAACATGAGGAAGCAGCATGTAGGAACGACACAAGGACACTCACGTCTCTGCCCGGCTGCCAGACAACCCCTGCAGAAGGCACCTTGGTGTCTTCCTTTCCAGCTGGACGTCTGTCTGGTGGGTTGCTCTGAGGCTGCTGGGAGGCGTTTCCTCTGGAGCCTGGAGCAATCACCCAAAAGCACAGCATTAGCCCATCTCTGAGCTGAGTTTGTTCCCCAAATTCCCCGTTAGCTGGGAAGTTAAGGGGTTTTGCCAGCAGTCCACAGCCCCACACACGCTGAGCCAGGAGCCCGTGGGCCGGGTGAGTTCCTGCCCTCTCCCAGCGTGCCCAGGGTACCCCACGAGGGTATGTGAGCCCCCCACCAGGCCCCACTCATCACACCACCCCTTCTCTCACCTCCTCCTCCAACTCCATTGGCATCCCAGCAGACTGTTCAGCTCCCAGCTCCTGCTGCTCTCCATCACTCCCCCTCTGAGACACGCCGGTCTGGGGGACAGCTTCCTCCAACCTGCAGAAGGCAGAGAAGCAGCCACTGAGCCAGAGAAGATCCTCTGGGGAAGCTGTCACTTTGCCCAAGAAGTTTTGGGAATGGATCAAGGAGAAGAGGATTAGGCCTTTGCAGCCCAGCTTTGTGCACTGTGCTCTGCCAAGCTCATAACTGCCCCCGAGCCCAGTCGAGGTGACGTGCACACCAGTAAAGAAGCTCCTCTGCTTTCTAATGGACACCTGGGCTCTGACCAGCACTAAAACCCTGCAGGCTCAGGGCACACCAGGAGGTCCCACCAAGCTCTGTCCCTGCTCCCCACCAGCCTCACCTGGGCAGCCCCTCTGGGAAGCTGGAGGGAGCCAGCGGCGCCAGCGCCTGGTTCTGCGACTCCCGGGCAGCGTCCTCATAGACCCGGAGCTTCGCCCGCAGATCTGCCACCTGCGAGGAAGGATCAGCTCTTGCTCAGATTGTTTCATGAGACCAGGAGCTCAGAGCTCCACGTCCCCAGCAAACCACAGCTAAAGAGAGAGCCTTCCCCTCCCCACCAGCATCTCACCTCCGCTCTCAGCTGCTCACAGGTGATGGCGTATTTACTAACGTGGCCGTCAGAGCTGGTCACATTGCTCTTCAGCTGCAGAGACAGGGCCAAGGCAGAGGTTAAAGCAGCACTGGGGCTGCACGTACCTCTCTCCCAGTGCTGGAGCTGCTCAGCCTCCTCCAGGCTCCCCAGGGAGCCCCAGGGTGGCTGCAGTGGACATGAGCTGCGCTCAGGGACCTGCTGCCGCAGTCACAAGCCTTTCTGGGTGCTGGGCTGAG